AAATGTGATGGGTTAAGCTGAGTGGTTGTGTGTTGATACCTTAATGTATACTACCACAATTTTTTTTATTGTGCATTTATTTACATTCAGTATATACAAGCCTGCCACCTGGCAGATAAATGTTACAGCTTACTGCCCTTCTGCCACCTGGTAGGTACAAAAGGCATTATATCATTAGCTGCAAGATGGCCATGATCTTGTGTGTCCATTTCTTTGGTGTTCTGTAGTGCAACTAACTTTTCATGCAGTACCCCTCTGGTAAAAATCAGTAATCAAAGGAGACCAAACAGTATTTGTTTTAGGATATTTTCGTGACAATAGTGGCGAGTTTCAGAATTAATATTTTCTGAGATACCATTGCTGTGTGAGTATAATATATACAAGCAGGAATCCACTACATTTCACTGGAAAGCACTTAACAAGGTCATAAGAGCAGACATCTTGCTTTTTATTACATTAAATATATCTATTAGTACATACATATGTATATGTATAAACTTAAAGCATTTAAAGTTTAAAATAAATTGGAGTCTGAGCAAGGCAATTCCTCAAAAATATTAATAATTGCAACCCTGTATAAGAGATATAAAACAATATCTAAATAAATCAAAACTGAAATAAGAATTCATAGTAGTACAAATTCAATAAATAAAAATGGAAAAGGGAAAAAATATACAAGACAATACAATTTAAAAATTAATTTCCTTTTACTGAAACTCCAATTAAGAACTCATCAGGAGAAAATGAACTAAAGTTTCATAAAAGTCAATTAAAAAGTCTCAAAAACGTGTTTCATTCTCCTGGTTCATTTGAGATCAAAACCTGAAAAAGAATCAATTAAATTTTCATTTAAAACATGAAAATTCATATAAAACATTTCTGTCGCTATTTCTGTGGCAGAAAATTCCTGTCTTGCCTGGATCATGCGTCATTGCTGAGACTGGTCGCACAACAAATTGCATCAACATCGGCTGACCAAGATCAATGGAGTGGCAAAGAAATCCAAAAAATCCAGCTGGAAGATGGTGACATTAAACCCATAATTGATTTAATGGAGACCTCAAACAGACCTACCTGGCAGGACATTTCAAGCTATAGTCTGATAAAACAATATTGGGCTCTCTGGGACTCACCCTGGATTCCAGCTTTCCTTAAAGAACTACATAGCAGCCCTACAGGAGGTCACTTTGGAATAATGAAGGCCTTGCAGAGAGTTTGTGAGCGCTTTTACTGGAATAATGCAAAGAATGATATGCAAAAGTGGTGCTGATCTTGCAATAACTGTGCAAGCCAGAAAGGGCCAAAGAAATGCAGCCGATACAAGCTGCAAAACCAACAATGTAGGAGCCCTTTTTAACATATTGCCTTTGACATTTTGGAAAACTGCCACGAACTGTTGATTGACCAAATACATCCTCGTTGTTATTCATTACCTTACTAAGTGGCCTGAAGCACATCCTATTCCTGATCAAGAGGCTGTCAAAATAGCAAAGGTAATGATACAGCACTGGAGTGCCTCTTCAGTTACATTCAATCAGGGGAGAAATTTTACCTCAACTGTAATCAAAGAACTCTGCAAGCTACTCAGCATTGTCAAAACCCAAACAACATCTTTACATCCTCAGTCGGACAACACAGTAGAGAGGTTTAATTGAACCATCCTTAACAACCTCTCATGAGTGGTTTCTAGAAGCCAACAGGACTGGAACAAGAAGTTACCACTGTTTTTACTGGCTTACTGCAGTGGTGTCCATGAGACTACCAATATTCCCCATGAAAGTTTTTTTTTTTTTTTTTTTTTGTTAGAACTGACAATGATGAGTGTATGTATATAGAACAATGATGTTAAGTAGGTTAGAAGTGTTTTTTGTTGTTGTAATAATTGAGATATTGTTACTGTGTTGTGTGAAGTGTCAAAAATAAAGTGATCCATGCAAAATAGTGTCAATTTTAGATAAGTTTGAAATATATTCTCACTAAGTGGTGGACCAGAATCGAAGAACGAGGATTATAAAGGTAAACGACTTCATTTGCCTATCCTGAAGTTTGAATGATCTGTTTTCCTGAAGAAAAAAAAAAATTTGTCGCCCTCTGGATGTGCCTTCATCACCTGAGGAATACGTCCAAGATCTCCAGTCTCAGTTTGAAGTGATGCACAGTTTTGCACTAGAGTGAGTCAACTTGGTGACTGAGAAGATAAAGACCCAATACGACATCAGAGCTACTGGACATCGATTCAATGTAGGAGAGAAGGTGTTGTTGTGGAATCCGACTCGACAGAAAGGACTCTGTCCGAAATTACAGTCACCTTGGGATAGTCTGTACACAGTCCTAAACAGATTGAAATGATGTCATGGTTCAGATCTGTAAGTCATCGAACTCTAAACCTAAAGCTGTTCATTATGCCAGATTAGCTCCTTACTATGGCCATAGTACGTAGTGTATGTAATGCAAATAATATAAGACCATGGTCCTTTATGCTTCTAAATTGGTATTTGGTTTGTATTTAGTATTTGATAGTCTTTGATTTCAGTTACTTATTGCAATTTTTGTTTATGTTGTTTGTAATGTAATGTTGATTATTGCATTTTTGTCTTAGTTGTAAGTTTGGCTTCCTGTCCAGGGATTGAACTGCCCCGGACATGCAGTCCTTGGGAAGGGGCAGTCTCATAGATTTTATATTTAATTTGCTATTTTTAGTAGAATTATAATTAAAATTGTTTTATTTCCCCATGCAATGCAGCCTGTGACAAGTTTTAAGAGAAAGCTATGCTGAAAAAGTAAAAATACAGGAGCATGCACATTTAATAAATAGATATCTTGTAATTGTACTCTTCTGCTTTCTAGAAACCTTGAGAAAATACCAGAATGTTCTCATGCATGATTAAAAAGCTTATAAAAGCTGGAGCAAAACATCTCAGTTCAGTTGTTTATTAGTTGTTTACTAAGCTCTTGTTGTTGATTGTAGCAAATTCGCAGTGAGATCAGATTAGCTTTCTCTGCACTTGAATTGTGTCTATTTAATATTCTAGTGGCTTAAAATATAGCTACTGTGTGATATTGTACGGATATCTGTGAAAAAAAAATTTTAGCTCTTTTTTTTTTTTTTTTTTTGATAAGAATAAATTTTATTAACTTTTCATCAGACTTGTGCATTCAATCTTTTACGAATCCGTATCAGATATGGAAAGATGATGGAAATGCATTCCGATAATAGCTGATATTATCCGATAGTAGCTGATGGAAATATCAGCTACTATCGGAATGCGTTTCACTGCAAGTGCAAGGCACTGTTTCGAATATGGAGACAGTTCCAGAGAGCCCAGTATTGTTTTGTTGTAGGACTAGAGATCAATACGTCCTGCCAGGTAGGTTTCCTATTTGAAGAATCTATTAAGTCAATAATGAGTTTAATGTTGCTGTCTTCCAGGTGGTCTTTCCTGACTTCATCACTGCATGAATCTGGGTCACACGATGTTGTAGCTTCACATGCAACTGGATTAGCTATCTGGTATTTCGTTTCAACCCTGGAACAATATCAGCAGGTTTCTGGGCAGAGTGTTCTAGATAGGATATCAACATTTCCATGTGATGATCTTTCTCCTATGATGGATAGTAATGTCATATTCCTGGAGTTTCTGTATCCATCTAGCTATTTGGTCTTTGGGATTCTTGAAGTTTAAAAGCCAGGTCAACAGTCCATGATCCGTTTGGAGCAGGAATTTTCTTCTGTGGGGTTAATGGTAGAAAGACTGTATGGCTTTAACTATGGCAAGCAATATGATTCAATAATTCTTCAACAGTTTAGATAGACACTTACTCCAGTGTGTTAAAACATGTTCTTGACCGTTTATTTCTAGGGACAAAAGAGCGCCATCACTCTCATTGCTTGCATCCGTATCGAGAATAAATGGTTTGTCGAGCTGAGGGTACATCAAGATTAGAGCAGATGTGAAAGCCTCCTTCAGTTCGTTAAATGCATCCTAAAATTCTTTAGTCCTCAAATACTTTTGCTTTCTCTCTGTCAACTTTTGAAGGGGGGTCTTGCTATGGAAGAAAAGTCATTCACAAATGTCCTATAGTAGGTACAAAGTCCTAGGAAACTTCTCAGCTGATGGACATTTTCGGCGCATCTCCAATCTTTAACTGCTGATAATTTTTTTGGATTCATTCATACACCTTCGACAGAGTTGACATGACCAAGATAAGTCACTTCCTCTCTGAACAATTTACATTTGGCAGGACTTAATTTGAGAATGGCTTTTTTCAATTTCTGAAGCGCCTTTCAATATTTTCTAAATGTTCTTCAAACCTCTTCTGGATGATGTTGATGTCATCCAGGTATATCGGGCAGGCTTCATAGGAAAGACTTCTTAGCACAGTCTCCATGAGGTATTTGAATGTTGCTGGTGCACTACAAAATCCAAATGGCATCACCTTGAACTGATTTATTGAAGCAGTAATTATATTTATAGTCAACACTGATAAGGACAAAATTGTATAAGACTGTATCAGAGTCTCCATTATTATTTAATTTCATGCTTCATCACCAAAGTTTTAATCACTTCAATATAATTATGAAAATTTCCCCCATTCTTTACCTAAAAAAAATCTAACAAATCCCGTTTGTCACCATTTGAGCATATTTATGCTTAGAGAGCATTTAAATTATAGTTATTATAAAGCAGAACAACACAAAAAATAAAAACAAACACTTGTGCTTTGATAATGCTTATCATGTTCATCTTAAATCCGAATAACAAACGGACCAAGATGCTAACTAACATATAAAAATTATGGCTGAAGATATTAAGTGAAGCAACATGAGTCATGGTAAACTGTTATTTACTTTGTATGATTGAGTTAGAAAGAAGTCTAACTACTGTACAGTGCACATTACGGAATATTAAAAATGCATAAATATTTCCTTTGTTCTTCTCTACTTAATGTTTTCATCCTATATTTCTGCCAAATATCTTAAATTTGATTGTATTTTATAGGTCATTCATAAAAGACTCTGGAGATATTTTTGTATGTGGTATGATAGATAGAAACAGAGCCATTCATGGAGATGAGGTTGTTGTAGAAATGCTACCGGAACAACAATGGAAATCCCGTTGTTTGCGCTTGGTGGATAATCCTTATGATGCCAAAGGTCAGATTTTATTTATTTATGGCTCAGCTAAAATTGAGAAATTAAAATTGTAATACTATAAAATGGCTAAATGAATTATTTTACCATGGCATAGTAATTTAAACAGTAAATTTTGCAAAAATTTTACGTTGTGGGATAGGATCTTCTAAGCTGTCAAACAATGTTAATTCATTTTGGTAATTTTTTGCTTACCATCACAGATTAATTTCATGGAAATGTTTACAAGTAATGGAAAAGCTGTGAAAAATCTGTGTGAAAATTAAATTGGAGGGAATGGCATGAAGCTAAGCTACTTACAGTGAATTCTCCTAGAACAAAACCATATAACCTCAGTTTTCTCAATCAGTATTCTAAGACTTATCCTGTGTTTCATGAGTAGTTGAAGAAATTAAGTTTTTGATATTTCATTGGATTACATTAACATCAAGAAGCAAAATGTGTCATGTGCTTCTTTAGGCCCACCAACGATCAACTGATAGAATCACTGGTCACTGTCAATGCTGGTAGTTTAGACCTGGGTCCAATTCCATTGAATAGGCTGGCTGCATGGGGATTTTCATGATTTTCTCCATGTGTAACATGTATACGAGCCTGTTTCTCTTGGAGTCCATAAAGGGGTTCTCTGTTAGGCAGATAGTCCTAGTGTGCTTTAGCATTTTTAACTAAACCACACTATTTGCTTCTTTATAATCTAATAAAACATAATTATTTTTTAAATATTTTTTATGTATTAAACTTTTTTGATCTAGTAATCTTGAAATGTAAGATTTCATATTCAAAATTATTTCAGACATTGTCACATAACAATGTATAACACATTCAAAACATTTTATGTTATAAAAGAACAGTTAATTTCATCAACACTTATTTTGTACATTAAATTTATGTTTATAGATAGTTTTTTTCATTTCATGTATTTAATCTGAGTGAAATTAATGTACATTTTAAGATAAATTTTGAAACTCTTGCAGACGTGTTTAAATTGCATTATAAAATTAGACAAAGTTCAGCTTAACTCTTTCGCATCGAAGTTGCCCAAAACGTCCAACCATTCAAACATCGGCAGGTCGCCTGAATTATTTCTTACGTAGTTCTTTCCCCCGTCATGTTACTAATTTGCTCATTGCTTTCAGGAGTTGTTATATGACATACCAGTCATTGTTTTGAAGTGACTAAAAGTAGTTCTGTTATTTTAACCCACTTGCGCTAAAAGACATGCCACACATGTCGAGATGCTTTTGTCTCAAACTATGAGCGACGTGAACACCACATCGACAGGCATTTATCGCAAAAATGAAAATAACATCGTGCACACGTCACCTAACAACGAGATTGTTTATTTCTCGAGTTACAGCTCTGGATTGCACTCGTAGATGCAGACGGCGTAAATGAGACACTTTACTGCTTGTTATATTGTAGCGCACGCCACCGCAACCGTGAAGTTTAGTCGTAGCGCAAGTGGTTAATGCACCTTCTTATTCCTTTGTTTACTATCAATGTTTAACTATTGATGCCCTAAGTTGCAATCGTGTCCTGAAGGTGAAACTTCACACAGGGTAAAAGCATCCAAGAAAGAAGTTGTTGCTTTTCTTAAGTAGATTATTGTTAGCGCTGTAGTATTCTATTTGTTACAGCGGACAGAAAACCGTTTAAAGGTAAATTTATATACACGGGGATTTTCGATGTTGGATGGAAAGAGATTAGGTCCTCTCTTGATGCCAAAGAGTTAAATCGGTATTAATCGTAGAAAAATGCTTTATGTGTCTTAGCCAGCTGTCTTCTGAACTAAAGCCCTGCAAAAACATTATGAGACATAAAATTAGTTACACAACAACCTTGAGTTTGGTGTAGATTTAAGTAAAGATCTGTATTGTTTCCAAAAGCAAACAGAAACAGGTACAGGTCCCTCTTTATTAGGAACAAAGTAATCTGCCAGACTGGAAAGCAGTTTATACTCCACTCTAAAGCAAAACAAGAAGATTGTGCCATCTATGGACAAAAATATTTACAAAATTCAAAAATTAAGTTAATAGAAATTTTAATTTTTAAAGCATCAGGAAGGACTGGATTGGACATAAAGTCATTAACTAAACAAGATTAATCTTTGTGAATGTGAAAAGCCTCAAGAAAATCCAATTCAACAATCGAAGAAGCTTTTTGAATGATTTTTGCAGACCTAAAGTCAAAATTATGATTCAATTTCCAACAGTGGTTAGCTATCAAGGATTTGTTAATTTTGCCTTTTCGAACATAAGATTCATATTTATTAATACAAAACTTTAATGTTGTTTTAGTTTCACCAATGTATCTCTAACCACATTGACACAATATCCTATAAATTTCCCAAGAATTAAAGTTAGAAATGGAATCTTCAAGGGTCGAGCCAGGGATTTTATTGATAGGTGAGAAAATGACATGAAAATTTAACTTCTGAAACATGCATTTTTATTACTGATTGAGGGATAAAATGGAAGCATGACAAGATTATTAATGTTATTTCTAATAGCAGAATGTCTTCTTTGATGGTAAGCGGAAAATTTTCTAAAGGCTTTATCAATGACCATGAGAGAAAATCCTCTTTCTGTTAAACTGTTAATCACCAAAATTTTGATTTAATTATTATATCACTCAATATATATGTGTGTGTATGTCTAATGAAGATAATAATAATTAAATAATTGTATCAGTTATATACAATTTGTTTTATATGTATATAAAACAAAATTTATAAGAAAAATATTACACTGATATTACACTGTTCTGGAAGAATTTTATATATATAGAGAGAGAGAGAGAAGGAGAGGATGATTTATTTTGTTGAAGATAACTTGATATTAGATGAGAACTTGATTAGGGAATGCACCAATACACTTTTGTTGCAGCAAAAAAAAAAAAAAAAAAAAAAAAAAAAAAAAAAAAAAAACTGCTGCTTGGATTACTGGAATATATGGTGCAGTGGGTGGAATTTTGGATAGAAGCAAATCCAGCTTGATAGTTAATCATCATTTATTTTTGGATGGCGAATCTTAGCATGTATCTTCTTAATTGGTAGAATACTGGAGGTACTAAAAGCATTCCACATTTTTAGATATATAGTTATATCTTACATGAGGAAGAATAGCTTAACAGGTAAATAAAAGGCTGATCACATTTCCTCCCTGAAACTATGAAATTCTGATCTGGCTGAGAACCTTTCCTCTAACAAAATATTTACTGTCTTAAAAATTTGGTAATCCAATTGCTTATGCTACTTTATTATCTGTGTAGTAATATGAAGAGTAAATTATTCAATTTTTTTGTAAAAATTATTTATTTAATATTATTATTTTCAGTTAAATTTAATTTTGAGCACAAATATCAGCATCATGTAACTTTTTCCCTCCCTACAGAAAATGGTGTTGATATTGAATTGGCTAAATCCCAAGTTATTCCAACTGGAAAAGTAGTTGGAATTCTTGATAGACGTTGGAGAAATTATATTGCTACACTTCCTGAAGAAGAAGTAACTATTTCTTTGTGTAATCTTTATATGAGATTTTAATATACTTTTATGACATTTCTTAAATGATTTTTTTTAAGTAGCCTTCTGTTTATAAATAGAATCTTAAGACTCATACAATGTGGCTTTATAAAATTGGTGAGTAATTCTGTTTGTTATTTTCCTTTTGTCTTTAATTATTTTCTGTCATTTATTGATGGTAGCATATAAATTAATCAACTTTCATAGTCTTAAATTATTGTCACAGACATTTAAATTGGGTGTTTAAACTATCTGAGAAGAAACATTTTCACTGAAGACTTTTCAAAGGACTACCTGCTCTATAACTTTGTGCTTTTTAAATTTAATTAGATCATACTTCATAGGATGTTCTATGGAAATGGGCCATGGCTATGGGAATGTGTTATGGAAATGGCTAGTGTCTTCAGAAAAGTATGGTAGAAGTAATTTTTATTTTGTGGTCTCTGATGATGTTTTAGTGTTAGTAATTTTTAGAATTATACTGTACACTTAATTTTTCTTATTGAAAAGCAGATTTTAATTTTTTCATATGCTTATATCTAGTAGGCTTTAATGTATACCAGCTGTTTCCATATAATGAATGAAAAAATCACTCATCAGCATATATATTACAGATTAAGAAAAAAAAAGTTAGCCTTTGGAAATGATATCAAAGGAAATGCATTTCTGTATATTTTTGAAAGGAGAAAACGACTATAGTAAAAAAAGCAAATTTTTATGATGAAATTTGTTAACATTCTTTGATTTGAAACTGGGCATTAAAACCATTAACAAAAAATTATTGTTTCTTCTCGTGTATTGCTTACTAGGTTAACTCTTTGCTATATTTTGCTGTGTGAGCTATTGCACTTATGCAAAATAATTTCTCTTTAAAACAAAGAGAATTTCTTGTCTCTCAAAATGTATTAAGAAAACTTCCATTCATAATATATAACATCTTTGCCATTCATTTATATCATTTATATATTTATAATTCTATTCATCAAATATTTTTAATTTTCTTCTATTATTATAGCTTGATGAAAAGGGGAAAATTTTACTTGAATTGGGCAGGTTTCATTAACTTATGTAGTTTAACAAATTTAATCATGTTGTATCATATTGTGTAGTGATTTCAGATATTTAAAATACTTTTATAGAAGATCTTCAGCATAATCTTTTATTTCACAGGAATCCAACTCATCATCACGGAAAAATGAAAGAATTTTAGTCATTCCTTATGATTATCGAATTCCAAAAATACGAATTGTTACTAAGCAAGCCGAAGGGATTCGTAATCACAGGTATTTATGTTCATTGGTCTAAAAAAAAAGTTATTGTTATTAAAACTAAAAGCATTTCATTTCAGAAAATTGTTATTATTTTCAAAACTCTTTAATGCAAGTGCTACATTTATTGTGTTCATAAGTTACACATTTACTTGAACTGTTTTCAAGCATAATTGCCATTTGAACTCAGGCTCCAATAATTTTGTGCATCTTTCAAATCAGATAATGGTGGTTCAGTGAGTTCACTAATTTTAACACTTTTACATTTTTAACAATATTTTAATTACTATATACAGAGCGTATTCTTAGGCCGCCGCCTTCGACATGAACAAACTTTATTCTCTTACAACTAAGCGAGCAACAGCGCCCTCTAGCCTTTTTCTTCAAATTACACAACACTCCCCACCTGAACTCGGTGGAGAGTTCATCTTTCAATAATATATTCTAGAATATTCAATTAATATTTCGACAATAAATCCTGGAGAAATGGTTAAATATAACAAACATGCATACATAATTATAAGCACATAAAATTTTACAAAACATTAAATGATACCTATCAGCAAGGTCAGGAGAATCAAACCTAAAAATACAAAATACAAACATTAGTTAAGTTCCATATTATATAACAATTGTATAGGCCTTTTTAAGGTACCAGTAGGTGTTTTAATTAATTATGCAAGATCTTATTTTACCATCTCTGCCTGGCATTAATTCCAAAATTTTACCTATTGTCCAGAGATTTCTGGGATGTTTGTCGTCATGAATCAAGACAATATCGTTGATTTTAAACTGAGATGCGTTAGAGTGTGGAGGACAAATATTGGCAGATCTCAGATTAAAAAGATACTCTGATCTCCAACGCTTCCAAAAATGATTTAAAATATCTTGATGGTATTTATATCGTTTAATAATTGAATTTCTTGATCCAATCAAATTATTTGATGTTATTTTATTAGCAGGCAGAGATAGCAATCGTCTACCAACCAGAAAATGAGAGGGTGTTAGTGGAGAAGGTTCATTGGGATCGGTAAACACGTAGGTAATTGGTCTACAATTAATCATTGCCTCGATTTCAATGAGCACTGTTTCAAGCTCTTTCACAGTAAGGGATGATCGACCAATAATTTTTCGCAAGCTGGATTTTATGGTTCGTACCATACGCTCCCAAAACCCTCCCCACCATGGACCCCTCTCAATAATAAATTTCCAATTTATGCCTCTAGCAGAAAATAATTCTTTCACAGATGAGTCACTCAAAGTTTTAAAAATATGTTTTAGTTCTTTATCAGCTCTTTTAAAAGTCTTGGCATTATCGGAGTACACGGTGGTACACAGTCCTCGGCGAGCTAAAAATCTTCGGAAAGCTAGCAAAAAACTTTCAGTGCTGAGATCAGTTACTATCTCTATATGTAAGGCACGAGTGACCGCACACGTTAACAACAGCATGTAAACTTTACCTTGCCTGTCTTTCGTAAAAAATGGACCGGCGAAGTCCAACCCGGTCACAGCAAATGGAGGCGACTCTTGGATTCTGTCTGGAGGAAGTGGAGCGATATCCTGTACCCCAGGACGAGCACTATATCGTTTGCATATCACACATTTGCTGATGATAGTCTTAACACGCTGTCTTCCCTTAATGATCCAATATTTGTCTCTGATCTGAGTTAGTGTCGAATTAACTCCAGCATGGAATACCCTTTCATGCGAGTCCATGATGATCAACTCGGTAAACTTGCATTTTGAGGGTAATAGAATAGGATGTTTTAAATTCTCGTGACAGTCTGCAAATTGAATGCGACCTTTCAACCGAAGAATTCCCTCCTCATCAAGCCTTGGATTAAGGGAGTAGATGGAAGAATCGAGAATTGATTTTTTATTTGATAACTTAATTATTTCCGCTTGATACGATTCTCGTTGCGTAATTTTTACCCAATAATGTTCAGCTGCTTTAATCTCAAAAGCACTTAAAGGTCCATTCCTCTGTAGACCTTTTCCGAAGCCTCCCAATAAATCTAAATACATAGGCAGTAATTCGAAGTAATTTTCCTAAAGAACTGAATTTTTCTATATGCAAAATTGGGGATTCATTGTTAATTACAGGTGCAGTCAAAATAATACTTTTTCTTAACTCCAACGATTCTGAATTTGGTTTTAATTTCTTTTGTTTTGGAAAGTTTTCAGTAGGAAAACGTAACCAGTGTGGCCCATGCCACCACAGATCATTCTTAACTTAGTGACTGAGCACTAATTCCTCGAGTTAGTAAATCGGAAGGATTTTGTTTTCCTTCGCAATGGTTCCACAATTTTTTGTTGCATATACTCTGTATTTCTGTAACACGATTGGCGATAAATGGTTTCCAATTATTTGGCGAACCTTTAATCCAAGTAATGGCGATTTCGGAATCACTCCAAAAATAAACATCCTCAATTAAATCACCAAACAATTTTTTCAAATATTTATACATTCGAGCAGCCACGAGTGCTCCCATTAACTCTAAACGAGGAAGAGCGTGATTGCTCTTAAAGGTGCAACTCTGCATTTCGACATGATAAAGGAAGTTTTAATTTTAGAATCACTCGTACAATATCTGAAATATGCGATGGCCCCATATGCTTTAGGACTAGCGTCCGAAAATAGGTGAAGGCTTATATTCATTGGATCGTCATCAAAGAAATTTCGCTGTATCGATATTTCAGTTAAATCATTAAGTTCCTCCCGCCAAATGTTGAATTTGTCCTTAATCTCTGCAGGAAGGACCTCATCCCAGTCAGAACCGGAACACCAGATTTCTTGCATAATAATTTTCGCCCGAATAACAAAGGGTGCAATAAATCCAAATGGATCGTATATTTGGGCGATGCTTTGCAAAAGTTTCCTTTTTGTAGCAAAATCGTTTCCAGTAGAAAAGTCAATTAAATTTTTTAAATTTAACTTTATATTGTCTTCAATGGAATTCCAAATCATGCCTAAGAAATTCGATTCACTAGTTAATTTGTTGTCTGATTCCTTAATCCCATCTGAGACCCATAAATCGTTTAATGCTTTAGAATTAGTTCTTAATTTTCTGAAATTCATCCCAGCAGCATCCTTAAATATGTTAACCGCATCTACAGATAACCGATATGCATCTTCAACCGTTCCTGCTCCAAAATATAGGTCATCGACATAGACAGAAGAATTTAACATTTGGAAACTGTCCGGCATTTTATCTTTATATTTTCGAATGTGATATTTTATAGTGGCGGCCAAAATGAAAGGAGATATAGTCAAACCGAAAGCTACGCGACACATTTGCATAATCTTAAAGGAGTCATTATTTTCATTAAACCAAAGAAATTTTAGAAATTTTCTATCACCTTCAGCAATTCCTATCATCAAAAAGGCTTTTTCAACGTCTCCACAAAACGCTATCTTAAACTTACGAAAATTTAACATAATGTCTAGTATATTTGGATTTAGATTAGGTCCCGATTCAAGGCAGTCATTTAACGAATTCGTGTCCTCTGTCCTTGAGCTAGCATCGTACACAATTCTTACCTTAGTAGTTTCACTAGGTCGTATCACTGCTCGGTGAGGCATAAAATATCCCAAATTTGTATCATTATTTGGACATTCCTCCACAATTCCTTCTAATATCTGGTTCTCAATTATATTTTTATATTCCTGAAAAATCTCCGGAGTTTTACTTAGTTTATTGTGAAGGTTTGCGAATCGTTTCTTAGCTACCTCAAAATTATTTCCTAGATTATTCGGACTGTATTTCCAGATTAAATTTGCCTCATATCTTCCGTTTTTAAACTGCAAATTTCTTTCAAACTGGTCTACTATTTCGCAGTCAATATCGGAATAATCATCAGAATCATTAATTCCCATATGTTCTAATTCCCCAAAAACCTCTTAAATCTTTCAACACAACAGTGTTTGTCATTACCGCTAAATTTTCAGAACAATTTTTGTTTGTTTTATTTTTCTCGATTCCTGCGGCAACCCAACCAAACACAGAACTGACTGCGTACAACCCTTCAGATATTTTAATTCTTTCAGAATAAACTACATTCCAGAATTCATCCCCTCCAATTAATATCTCAACATCTATGTTATTTTTTCTTGCGCAATCGGCGATCTGCAACCCCATATGCTCCATGAAGTCTGCAATTTGTTTACTAGGCACACTGATGGACGCCGAGGAAATAACATCCGAGATCAAACATTCAATTTTTATTTTATTATTTTGTTTCCAATTCTGAATTTCGATTTCAACGACCGGATAGGAATGATTCATTGCCTTCGTCGCACCAAATGAATAAACAGAAAGTCTTTCATAACGGATTGGAGTAAGTTTTAAATGGTCGGCCAATTTTTTCGTTATAAAGGATCTGTGACTGCCCTTGATCAAGAATTAATCTAGTTAATTTTGATTTATACTTAGAACAAGCATAAACTGTACAAGTTTGTAATAATATTTCCCTGGCATTACAGTCATTATTATTATCACCTTGAGGAACAGAAGCAATCAATTTTAAGTTTTGAACTTTATTTCTTTCCTCAGAATTCAAAGTCAGAGATTCAGTTTCATTTTTGGAATAACCTTGTTCCGAACTTTTTGTTTACAAGGGATTTATTAGTACAAATCGATTCATTGTGATACATACCGCCACATTTATTACATTTAGTTTTATTTCTGCACCTTTTTGATGTATGGAATTTTTTAAAACAAGAAAAGCAGCGGTTTTCGGATCTTAGTTTCTTTAATTTATCAGAAACATTCACTTCGCATTTAAATGACTCGTGCAAATTATCACAAAAGATGCATTTTCGGTTAACTGCAGTATGAAATGCAGCCGTGGGTGTATTTTTTACATATTTTCTAGTTTCATATTTTGATTGATCGACTCGCGGAGGCACAGGATTTTTCCTTTCGCTTAATACTAGATTTGAAAACTTCCCTGCATTCTATTTCCGTTTTAATAAATTGTGTTAATTCCGAAACTTCAACTTTATCTTTCGATCC